ATGGACAATGCAATACCTGGAGACAGCAGAAGAGAAGAGAAAGAACTGGAGAAAATCACAAAATATAAAGACCCGCAAATAGAATTAGAACAACTGTGGCTAAAGAAAGCAAAGATAACACCAATAGTAAGAGGCACCTTAGGTGCAATCCCAAAACATCTGGAGCACCCCTTGAAGACCCTTGGCATTGACAAAAATCATCAGTCCATTGCCAAAGGCAGATTTACTTGGAACAGCTTCCATCCTGTGACAATACCTTTAACCCCATCAGACAACCGCATCTGCCTATCCCAGGTCCTTGGGAAGGACTCAATAGATGGATAAAAATGCCAAATCCAGTCTTAAACATCTAGCTGACTGTGCAATCAACAACAATAATAACAGTTTAAACTTGCCACCCAACTCTCAACAAGTCAGTTGAATAAGAGTAGAGAACCTGTGGCCCTCCAGAATTTGCTGATCTACAAATCCAACAGTCCCAGAAAGTATGAGTGATAGTGTGCAATGCTGGGATTTATAGTTTACCAGTTCTTTTCACCCCAGTCTAGAGATGCCCCTAGTGGCTTTCCTCTGACTTTTTCACATCATTTAAATGGCTGAACAATTTTTCCATGGGATCAAAACACAAAGTCCGGGCCCATTTAGCAATGAACAGAGAAATCTTTAGCAGGCCAGCTGGGTGGACGTGTAGAGGGACAGATGTTTATGCTTCTATCTCCACATGGTTTTTATTCCCATCTGCAAGGGATAGATTTAGAACTCTCTTTGGACTATCCTGGCCACGAACAGGAAGATCCCAAGGAGCTGTCCAGGGTCTTGAAGCTGAAAAGACCGTTCTGTACTTTGACCCAACAGTATGGCAGAGAAACTTGGTTCTTGTTTCTATCTAGACCAGCATTTCCCAGAATGGTCATTTTCTGCATTTATGGTCTTTAAGTCCCAATACTCTCCACCAGCTTGATTATTTCTGAGAATTTTGGGAACCCAAGACAGATTCACGTAATAGTGAGAAACATATATCAAAATCAGGTTGTGTGCCATACTTGGGCTTTATGGCCTCCTGGAATCTGTCCCGCAAATTCCAAATGAATATAAGAGTTGATCCATGACTAATTGCCACATGGATTTCACAACATTAAGCTGGGCCCTTTATCTGAAGTCAGTAAAGAAGAATGGTGTAAATTACAGGCTGCTATACTGAACTCGTATGTGAGGGGATGCATGACAGAAGATCACACATGTTCACCAGAGGTAAGCACCTCTACAATGTGGTCTTCTCCCAAGGAAACCTGATCAGCCTTCCCAGCTAGTTGCTCTCTCAGATGTGTTGGGCATCAACTCTCATCATACCTAGTCAGTGTAGCTAATGAAGGAAGATTAAAGCACATCTGGAGGGCCTCATATTAGAGATAGTTGTAGGGGTGTCTTCAAGGACCTCCAGCCTAGTTCCTTGAAATGGGATGGATGGATCAAGTGCAGTGTTGATTAAAAAAAATCAGCCATGTCTCAACAGCCTGCTTAGGTTTTTTTTCCTCATTAGTCAGAAGTCAATATTAAGCCCCAAGTTAATCATAAATTATGGTGACACCAAGGAGGCAACTAGCTAGTCTCTCTCTCTCTCTGACTGAAATCAATGGTATGGTCTTGGAATGGAAAATACAGCACATGGCAGAAATCAATACTATTGATTTCAGCATTTTTTTTTCAAAAGATTGATCTTTGCTGGCCCTGGCAGGACACAAACTCACACATGTGCGCACACAGAGATGCCCAGGCAGAAATACATTCATACCCACGTTCTAGAGTTTGTGTTTAATTACCCGGATAAGATTCTACTGTGAGAACAAACACCGGCAGCAGGATCCAGTAGAAAGCACATTCATGCTTTGTTAACATCTTTGCAGTTTCTTCCCTTAAGAAAGAGACTTTGGGTGTTTTTTGTCGTCTTCTCAAGATACCTGAGAATTCCTTTAGCATTTCTCCTTGTGGAGTTTTTGAGGTTTTGTGTTTGAGGTGGCAATGGGTGCTACTGCTGGTGTGTGTGTGTGTGTGTGTGTGTGTGTGTGAGTGACATGGCTTTCCATCTCTCTTGTAGACTCCCTGGCGGTCAACACTTCCTGATATGAAAAGGCCTACGGTAATGGAAGTGGAGAACGCCAGGGAATCTATACACCCCTGGAGAAAGGATTGCACAATTAAGGACAGGACATCGGTGCAAATTCTTGCTGATCTTGAAATGGAATAAGAATACTACTCTTCCACTTATGAGAATGTCACCAAACCTTTCTTCTCTTTTGAGAGAAATCCATCAATGTCATCCAATTGAAGCAGGAGTGCTGGAAAAACTTGCAGAATAATCCTAGCCTGATTCCATGGCCATAAAAGAACCTGTTATAGCCCATCTGAACTGAGTTTGGGAACTGTCTGCAAGTACCTCAGTACCCTTGGCTGGGTTGCTACCTCACTTCAAACCATTGCATGGTTTATCTCTTTATGGTTTATCCTTATCTTTTAAAATAGCCATTGTGATTGCAAAGCACGTTTCAGGGCTTAACGTTATCTGTGAGTAGAGCCATTGGAGTTTATTCAACAAGCTGTAGCTAAGGATTCTTCAACAAGCCTACGTTAAGGCAAACTGCGGTGGGGTGCGGCCTTTGCTGGTTCTAGTGAGGAAGTTTTCAACTGGAATTCAGGATCCCGTACTTCCAGATGAAGATAAGTTGCCAAAAGCCAACCATATTGGATGGAGACAGGACCATAGCTAGGGAAAGAGTGCAACCTTTTCATGCAAAAAAAAATCAGGATTAGTTCTGAAGCAGAAGGATGAGGTAGCTCAACCTCTCAGAGAATCACTATCAGAATGGATCATCTAGGCTTAGATTAATTGTGTGATCCAGCCTCAGGAAATTTTCCACGCGCATCTTGTCATGTTCCCACGTGACATCATTGTTACATCACTGCTGTAATTTTACAGGCTGTTCCTCCTCTCCTTTTTCTCCCCAGTGACTACCGGTATGTGGCCGCTGCCCTTGCTGTCATGAGGAACGTGACCCAGCAGATCAACGAGCGGAAAAGGAGGCTGGAAAACATAGACAAGATCGCTCAGTGGCAGGCTTCTGTCCTGGATTGGGAGGTACGTTGCACTCCTGCGAGCATTGCACTTGTGTCTGTGGGTAGTGCAAGGCTTCACAGCAGATCGGGCATTCGTTTCCTGACAGCCGACCTTTGGGGACTTTTTAGTTATTTGTATAGGCCGTTTATGCCCTGCATTTTCATGGGGGGGGTGGTTTCCCGTTATCTCAAAGTTGCGTGGCTTTGATTTTTTGCACCATAGACATTCTTAGGGAGTGTCGTTGCTCAGTAGGAAATCCAGTGGTTTCTGTAGCTCAAGGCCTCCTTTCCCCATTGACTCTGCCATGACTGAGTTGGGCAGATGCCTGCGTAACTACTGAAGGGCACTGATGCCTCACTGATCCCTTGTCAGCTTCAGTGAGTTACAGTTAGTACAGTTAAAACTCTTGGGATTTTCCCCTGCTTCCTTTGACTTTCACCCTCATTTATCTGAATCGCCACTGCATTTAAATCCTGCCTACCTACCTTTGGAATATTCTCCCCCCAGAGGTGCAGCGGGCCCCACCCTCCCGGCCTTCCAGAAAGGATTAAAGACCCAGCTCTGCCAGTGTGCGTGGGGCGACGTGAGCTCTAACCGTCCCTGGGGGTGGGCAGCGCCCGACGACGCTCCCTGAGTGATTCGCCAACTCTCCACCTTTCTTATTATTAGGATTGTTTTTATATTGTATTTTAATGAAATTTATCTCTGCTGTAAACCGCCCAGAGTCATTTCACCGAGATATGCAGTAACAAATCTGATAGATAGATAGATAGATAGATAGATAGATAGATAGATAGATAGATAGATAGATAGATAGATACCTTTTCCTGGGAGTTTAATGCTGTACAGGAGACATCTCCCCTTATTTTGTTTTATAATTTTATTTTATTTATTATAATTTTATTATTATTGTTTTATTTTATTATTTTATTTTAATTTTATTTTAATTTTATTT